TATTGAAAAAGTAGCTTATAGAGAAGTGAAATTGAGTAAAAGCTAAATTGGATAAGCTGAATTGTGTTTGGATTGAAATTCAGAAAAGCTAGTTTGTAAAAGTGAGATTGATAAAAGGTTGTTTGGATTATGATTGAGTAAAAGTAAGTTTGGTTGTAAAATGACCAAAATAGATATGAGTTTTAATAAATAATGAAACATGATTAAAAAAAATAATTTCACTAATACAATGAAATTAAAATAATTTAATATGAAGAAGTTATTAAAAATATTTTAAATATAAAGTGAAATATGAAAAATAAAAGTATATTTTTAGGAGCATATTAATAAAAATATGTTTCTAACTTATTCATTACTCTCAACTAATTTTAACTGATTTTTTATTATCTACAAATTAGTTATTTGCGGCTTATAATAAGAACCAAAAGAGGTAATAAATTTCTTAACTTTTTCTCTTTATATTTCAAAAGCTATAAGTCATAAGTTATAAGTCATAAGCTGTTAATTTTAGCTTATAGCTTATTGTAACTTTTCGTACAAAAGCCTGATTGCAGAAAAACTGATTCAAACGGACCTAATTGTGTCAACCAAACTTATGGAGCTTATAAGCTACTTATAAGCTCAAAATAAATGATGCCAAACAGGCACATATATATCTCTATCTGACCGCTGCTTATTATAAGTTACATATGAATAAGTTTTTTAATATAGATAAATTTTTTATCTTAAATATAAATTATTTATTAATGATCATTTTTTAACGAGAGAATCTTAAAAAAATATTTTTAAAATTTAAAATTACAAATTAGTCTTGTATATTATATTTTAATAATAATTGATAATATTTAAAAAATAAATAACAACATATTTTTGTAGTCATCACTAATTTAAGATTTCAAAATTTTAAATTTTTTATAGGATTTTTTCTGTCTTTTAAGTCATATTTAATTTTCATTCAAAAAGATAAAAAAGAAAGAATGATTGATGGACGCTAGGAGAGTAATAAATTGAATGTCGGGCCAAAAAAAAAGGGTGCTAAATTGATTGTATTGTCTGCTTCACATTGATGCCAAAGGATAAGACCAGGGACTAGGATCCATTTTACCCCGTGCCGCTTTTCACTCCACCCTGGCATTTTTGTTCCAATATTGTTTGCCTACTGAGCATTCCGATACTCATTGTAATTGTCACTTGCAATAAATATTCACATATAAAAAATACATTAAATTAATAATTTTTTTAATTTTATTCTTATTAAAGTGGTTATTAAATTGATGCCGGCACGTCAAAGGCCTGGTAGTGCTATACATACATATATACTATTGAAACTTTGTAATTGTTGTTATTTCCTTGATATCATTTTGCCTTTTACTCAAAAAAAAAAAAAGAAAGAAAGAAAGAAAGAAAGAAAAGCTATCGCACAAAACATTGGAGTTGATGTTTTCTTATTATTAAATTATCTTAAAGAATCAAGTGAAGGTCATTTAGGATGAACACTCCGATTGTTAGAATTTGTTTTACTGATCCTTCTACAGTACTCCCTCCGTTCCTTATTATAAGAGACATTTGATGCTTATGGCATGTTCCTATATATAAGAGACACTTAAAAGTTGTCTCTACTTTTTTGTGTTGATTTCCTATTTTATCCATATTTATTGTCTCTAACTCACACTCTCTCTCCTTCCCACTTCTCTTTCTTTTAATAATTTACTATTATTCTCTCTCATGTTCTCTCTCCTTATTAATGAGGGTATTTTTGGAAAAGAAATTATACTTTTTACACATTGATTGTTCTTAACTAATTTTAACTGTTTTTTTGATCAACGTAATTCGGTTATTCGTCTCTTATAATAAGGAACGGAGGGAGTAATGACTACTGACATACTTCCTCGGTTCCTCCGTTTCAAAATTTACTCATCTTATTTACTCATCTACGATTATAATTAATTATCTCGTCAACCTCTAATATTTTGGATAAAATTTTTTCATTTTGATGAAGTTTGTGGATTAAACAAGTGGAAGGAAATGGACTATAAAAATGTGGAGAGGTTATCTAAGTTTTTTTTTTTTTGAGATACAAAAAAAGCCTCGGTTTTTTTGGGGGGGGGGGGGCCGCCAGGAAAAGAAGCTCCCACCTAAAAGCAAAAAGCCAGCAACTAGTCAAGATATCTAACTTGTTATCTAGCTACTTCTCTCTGTATGCGGCCTTCTTCCCCGCTGTCTGTATTTATCCTCTATCTGAGCCTATTGCTTCTCTTATTCTAATTTTTGAGGTGTAATTGCTGAAAGTCTCCATATTATGATGTAAGCATTGTACTTTCTTGTTATTTCTCTGATTATTACACAAATTGTATTGAGGTAGAGGTGTGTTTATTACAATTACTCTCCTCATCATTCACACCCCATTTGAGTTTCCCATCGGTCATCAATGGAAGCCCTTGCTGAGAATGTCATTCGACTATTGGGCTCTTTAGTTGCTAAAGAGCTTGACCTTCTTTGCAACTTACAAGATGATTTGGAGACTATGAAGAGGAAAGTCACTGGAATTAAAGCCGTGCTTCGTGACGCTGAGAGGAAGGCCACGAAAAATGAAGCGATCAATGATTGGCTACAAAAGCTGAGAGCTATGTTGCTTGATGCCGAAGACTTGTTGGATGCCTACTCTGCTGAGGAGCTAGGAAGGGAAGTGATGACCAAAGGTAAAATGGCGAAGGAGGTACGCATATTCTTCTCCAAATCAAACCAAATTGTTTGTGCGCATAAAATGGGTCGAAAATTTAGGGCAATTAGGAAGAAACTAGATGAGATTTATGATGAAAGCAATCCGCTCCAATTGGATGGGAGCATTTCGAGTACTTGGAATGAGTGTCACGAATGGAGACTAACCGACTCATTTGTGAGCGAACAAGATGTTGTCGGGAGAGACAAGGAAAGAATGCATCTTGTTAGGATCCTTTTAAACCCTGATGTGAAAAATGATGTCTCAGTAGTTCCCATAGTTGGAATTGGGGGATTAGGGAAGACGACACTTGCTCAACAAGTATATAATGATGTGGCGGTTAAAAATCATTTTGAGCTTATGATGTGGGTTTGTGTGTCTGATGAATCCCATCAACTTTCCAATAACACGTTAGCTCAAAAGATCATTAAGCAGGAAACATCTGATGGTGCCCTCGAACGATTAAAACATGAAATTGAGAAGAAACATTTTCTACTCGTGTTAGATGATGTTTGGAATATTAAGGATCGTGGGGAATGGCTTAAATTAGAAAACTTGTTCAGAAATGGAAGAAAAGGAAGTATGACCATTGTCACTACACGGAGTATGGAAGTGGTGAATACAATGGGCACAGATCAACCTCTTTTCTTAAAGGATTTGGATGAAGATAACTCTTGGGAGCTATTTTGTAGAGTGGCTTTTCAGGACGGGAAAGAACCTGCTGATCACAAGTTGGTAGGGATTGGAAAGGATATTGTAAGAAAATGTGCTGGAGTTCCGCTCGCAATAAGAACCATTGGTAGCTTATTGTTTAACAAAGCATTAGAAGTGAGTGAGTGGTCATATTTTAGGGACAGTGAACTTGCAAATATAGATTCTGAAGATAATAAGATCTTTTCTATCCTTAAACTTAGTTATGATCATCTTCCCTTCTATTTGAAAAATTGTTTTGCATTTTGCTCTTTGTTTCCAAAAAATTACAAGATTAACAGAGAAACACTAATTCAGCTATGGATAGCTGAGGGGTTCATTCAACCTTTGGATGAAAATAGGCGCTTGGAAGATGTTGGTGATGAGTATTTCAAGCAGTTATTGTCGAGGTGCTTGTTTCAAGATGTGAGGAAATATACATGCAAGATGCATGACCTCATACATGATCTAGCACAATCAGTTGCCAAAAATGAGTGTTACATTGTCACAAGTGAAAAAATAGAAGAAGAAAAATTTGGTGATGGGATTCGTCATATGTCAAGTCATTTTCATGGTGCCTGCAAGTTTTCACTTGGTAATGCCAACACCAAAAAAATGAGAACAATTTTGTTCCTACAAGGACATTTGGATTTCATCTTGAGTCAGTCTTCGGCAAGATTTTTTAATCTAATTTGCGGGCCTACAAAATCACTTCCAAAGCACTTACGTGTATTGGTTCTTATAGATCAAGAGTTGAAAATTCCAGAGAGTATCAGAGATTTCAAGCAATTAAGATATCTTGATTTAAGTGACAATTGTAAACTGAAGAAGCTCCCAAGAGGAATCACCAAGTTGTATAACTTGTTGACCCTAAAACTTAATAGTTGGTTATCTTTGACATCACTTCCAGAGTCTATCGGAAATCTCACATCATTACAATCTCTTTACCTCTCTGGCTGCACTTCTTTGGCATCACTTCCCGAGTCCATCAGAAATCTCACATCATTACAGTCTCTTAACCTCTCTGGCTGTACTTTTTGGCATCACTTTCAGAGTTCATCGGAAATCTCACATCATTGCAGTCTCTTGACCTCTCTGGTAGCACTTCTTTGGCATCACTTCCGGAGTCCATCGGAAATCTCACATCATTGCAATCTCTTGACCTCGCTGGCTGCACTTCTTTGGCATCACTTTCAGAGTCCATCGGAAATCTCAGATCAATGCTGTCACTTAACCTCCATGGCTGCACTTCTTTGGTATCACTTCCGGAGTCCATCGGAAATCTCACATCATTGCAGTCTCTTGACCTCATTGGCTGCAGTTCTTTGGCGTCACTTCCGGAGTCCATTGGAAATCTCACACCATTGCAGTCTCTTGACCTCCATGGCTACACTTCTTTGGCATCACCTCCGGAGTCCATCGGAAATCTCACATCATTGCTATCTCTTCACCTCTCTGGCTGCACTTCTTTGGCGTCACTTCCGGAGTCCATCGGAAATCTCATATCATTGCGGTCTCTTAACCTCCTTGGCTGCACTTCTTTGGCGTCACTTCCGGAGTCCATCGGAAATCTCACGTCATTGCGGTCCCTTCACCTCCATGGCTGCACTTCTTTGGCATTGCTTCCAGAGTCCATCGGAAATCTCACATCATTGCAGTCTCTTGACCTCCATGGCTGCACTTCTTTGGCGTCACTTCCGGAGCCCATTGGAAATCTCACATCATTGCAGTCTCTTGACCTCCATGGCAACACTTCTTTAGCGTCACTTCCGGAGTCCATCGAAAATCTCACATCATTACAGTCTCTTGACCTCCATGGTTGCACTTCTTTGGCGTCACTTCCGGAGTCCATCGGAAATCTCACATCATTGCAGTCTCTTGACCTCCATGGCTGCACTTCATTGGCGTCACTTCCGGAGTCCATCAGAAATCTCACATCATTGCAGTTCCTATACCTCCCTCGCTACACTTCTTTGGCATCACTTCCGGAGTCCATCGGAAATCTCACATCATTGCCGTCCCTTCATCTCCATGGCTGCACTTATTTGGTGTCACTTCCGGAGTCCATCGGAAATCTCACATCATTGCAATCTCTTGGCCTCTCTGGCTGCACTTCTTTGGTGTCACTTCCGAAGTCCATCGGAAATCTCACATCATTGCGGTCTCTTGGCCTCCCTGGCTGCACTTCTTTAGCGTCGCTTCCGGAGTCCATCGGAAATCTCACATCATTGCTGTCTCTTGAACTCCATGGGTGCACTTCTTTGGCGTCACTTCCAGAGTCCATCGGAAATCTCACATCATTGCAGTCTCTTGACCTCCATGGTTGCACTTCTTTAGCGTCACTTCCGGAGTCCATCGGAAATCTCACATCATTGCGGTCTCTTTACCTCCTTGGCTGTACTTCTTTGGCGTCACTTCCGGAGTCCATCAGAAATCTCACGTCATTGCGGTCCCTTCACCTCCATGGCTGCACTTCTTTGGCATTGCTTCCAGAGTCCATCGGAAATCTCACATCATTGCTGTCTCTTGACCTCTATTGCTGGACTTCTTTGGCGTCACTTCCGGAGTCCATCGGAAATCTCACATCGTTACGGTCTCTTGACCTCCATGGCTGCATTTCTTTGGCGTCACTTTCAAAGTCCATCGGAAATCTCACATCGTTGCTGTGTCTTTACCTCCGTTGCTGGACTTCTTTGGCTTTACTTCCGGAGTCCATCGGAAATCTCACATCATTGCTGTCTCTTGAACTCCATGGGTGCACTTCTTTGGCGTCACTTCCAGAGTCCATCGGAAATCTCACATCATTGCAGTCTCTTGACCTCCATGGTTGCACTTCTTTAGCGTCACTTCCGGAGTCCATCGGAAATCTCACATCATTGGTGTCTCTTGACCTCCCTGGCTGCACTTCTTTGGCGTCACTTCCGGAGTCCATCGAAAATCTAACATCATTGCTATCTCTTGACCTCTGTGGCTGGACTTCTTTGGCATCACTTCCGGAGTCCATTGGAAATCTCACATCATTGCAGTCTCTTAACCTCCATGGCTGTACTTCTTTGGCGTCACTTCCGGAGTCCATCGGAAATCTCACATCATTGCTGTCTGTTGACCTCTCTGGCTGCACTTCTTTGGCATCACTTCCAGAGTCCATCGGAAATCTCACATTGTTTTGGTCTGTAGACCTCCGTGGCTGCACTTCTTTGGCATCACTTCCAGAGTCCATCGAAAATCTCACATCATTGTGTTCTCTTGGCCTCTCTGACTGCACTTCTTTGGTATCACTTCCAGTGTCTATAGGAAATCTCACATCATTGCATTCTCTTGGCCTCTCTGGCTGCACTTCTTTGGCATCACTTTCGGAGTCCATTGGAAATCTCACATCATTGCAGTCTCTTGACCTCTCTGGCTGCACTTCTTTGGCATCACTTCCAGAGTCCATCGGAAATCTCATATCATTGCATTCTCTTGACCTCTCTGGTTGCACTTCTTTGGCATCACTTCCGGAGTTCATCGGAAATCTCATATCATTACTGTCTCTTTACCTCTCTGACTGTACTTCTTTGGCATCACTTCCGGACTCAATAAAGAGTCTCACATCATTGCGACATTTTCATGTTAGTGGTTGCTCTGCTTTAAAGCAAAGATATGGTCCGAAATTAAAGGGTGTGGATTGGCCAGGACTTACTCACATACCAAATGTTTATTGGCTTGGTGAATAAACAATCAGCTTCTGATCATCGGTTTCAACGAAATCAGGGTATGACCTTTAACTTCATTCTTATCTTTATGGATAGTTTCACGTGGCTTATATTCCCCACTTTTCTTTTTTTAACTTTCTCTTGCAGTCCTCATCATGTTTTTGTGCGTGCCGCTGCTATGTTACGTGTTCAAGAACAGACGTTGCTGCTGCTGTTGGTCAAGTCCAAATTCTATTTCTTGTGCATTTACGGAATCTTCGAAGTTGTGGTCTGAATTCTTTTAATGAATGAATAAATTGTGGAAATTGTGCTGAAGTAGAATTTTTATACTTCCCGGATTTGATGTTGTGTAAATGTAATTGCTTAAATGATATCACATGTTATGGGTTAGTATTATTTCACTCAAATGCTTATATCATATACTCTTCGCACAGTTTTGAGTTAAAAGCTTCTTATGGAATGTCACATTCAAGACAATATTTCGAATTAAGAGCTACTTGGGCCAAAATATTTTTTATTTAAAAACAAAAAGAAATAGTTTTACAGTAAATAATAAAATGGTATTTTTAAATATTTGTTGTGTTCGTCAATTTTTTTCTTAATAGATGAGGAATTTACTGTACGGTGCTGAATATCAATTTATTTTTATTTTTTCCTTCACCAAAAGAGTAAAATTTTACCGACTGCTCTGACTAAAATGCTTGGTGTCAATATGAGCTCAAGAAAAAGATGCTAATGAGGATTTTACCGACAAGCATGGAAGATAAGATGAGTTATAAACAATAAAGATAGTAATATAAAAAAGAAAAATTAAAAGATGAGGAAGTCATAGGTCAGTCAAAAGTTCATGAATTAAGTCGCACCGAGTTACAGTTGAGGGATTGAATTATAAGAAAGTTTAAAGTTTTTTTTAACTAAAAACTGAGTTTAAACTTGCAGAACTAAAAGCTTAATTTTCTCAAAAATTTATATTTTAGACCACATGTTTTACAAAACCATTTAAAACATTAAATAATATTTAAAAATATTTAAACTTCTTTTTCATGACCTGTTTAAATAGAAATGTTGCTGTTTGCTTACTCCCAAAATTACTTAAAAAGAGTATTTTATGTAAATTAAGACAATATATTTTTTTTAACATACTTATCTCATACATGATAAAATTGTTTTTAAAAAGGTAATCCAAATTTTTTTAAACCCTAATGAGAGGGACTTGATGATTTCTTCCTTATTTATTTATTGCTATGACAGCAAGCTCAATGGTCTACAATCACAGATAGGAGCATTTCTTTATTTTTGTTTTAACGCATGTTTTATAGGAAAAATGACTAAAAAAGAATCTTAAAAATAGGTAATTCAAAAAAAAAAAGGGTTATCACTTCCAAAAAGCAGGAAAAGAGGAAAAACTTCAACTGAAATTATGATTGGGAAAATAACTAATTTGCCTTTGTACAATTAATTTATATTATTTTCAATCAAATATAGTCATTTTTTTAAACTGACACAATGATAAATTGGTCGTTTCTCATATTTTTATAATTCTAGTTCCAGTTTTCCCTCATTTCCTGTCATTTTAGCTGCCTTTCTTAGAATTTTCTATTTTCAAGGTTGTTTTGGTCATTTTTTATGGGCCATTGACTTACCAATGTTTAATTAAAATAAGATTTTCTTATAATTAAAAAAAAAAAAACACACACACACACACACTATGTCACATATCCACAGCTGGTCTAAGGTTTCTAAGGTTTTCTTATTTGGCATATGTTCTTATAACATGCCATTAACTAACTAAAGCTTTGAGACCAGGTACATTAACAACTGATCTAAAATAGCGGACTTTTATGCTTGTTGTGTATGCCCATGATCTAAAAAATTATTATCTCCTGTCTTAATTATAAGATCTTGCTTATAATCTACAAATAGAGTTTTATAATTAGAATCGGAAGTAGTACTATATTTTAAACCACATGTTTTAGCAACCCATTTAAAAAATTAAATAATATTTAAGAAATGCAACTGGTCAATGGTGGTTTAAATCGTTTCTTTAAATTTATACTAGTGAGATAAACTTGATAATTTCTTCTTCATTCATTTATCAGGAAGACAGCAGCGAGCTGAAAGGCCTAGAATTACAGGGAGGAAGATTTCTTTATTTTTGTTTTAACTCATACATTAGTTTTATACGCTGTCGACTTGTTAAGATTTAATTAAAGGAGCTTTTCTTTTTCACCAAAAAAAAAAAAGGTGTTGTCACCTAATAACATTGATATTCTCTTTTAAGTGAGAGGTCGCGAGTTTGATCCCACTTATAAGTACAATACAAATTCAAAAATTCTCATGTACTTTTATTTTAATGATTTTTTTAAAAAGTGACAATTATAAAATTATCTTTATTTTAAATTACATGTCTATTAAAATAAAAACTAACTTAAAATATAAAATAAATTTAAATTAAATCTTGATCACACAAAATTAATGTAACCAAGCATACAATGCGCGTTTCCAAGTTTTAAAGCCACCCTGGTATTTTGGATATAAAAAGGAGAAAAATGTTGTATTTAGAAGCCAAAGATGGGCTACGTGCTTTGGATTTACTTCCAGACTCAATAAAACATCTCATATGTTTGCAACATCTTGTTGGATGCCAATTCTTTGTATATTAATGTTGACAAAGTCCAAATTTTATTTCTACTATATCTAAGTCAATTGGATTTTTCTTGCGCATTATAGGATCTTCCAGGTGGTGGTTTGAATGCTTTTAAAAAGACCTTTACCCACAATTAATTCTGTTTAATTTTTCCTTGTGTTTACGAATGAATGATTAAATCGTTGAAATTGTGAAGTGGACTTTTTATCTCTTATGCGCATAGGTTTGCCTTAATTATGTTTGAGAGATTCCTTTGAGAGGTCCTGTGCACCAAAACCATATTCCCCCTTTAGTAGTGAGTTTTCAAGTAATTTGTTAGAAATTCTAATGAGGAACAGAAAATTTTAAAACCATAATGGCAAACTAATGAGGTTGCCTCGGCAATGACCTGTGGACATACAAGAACTTGAAGAAAATCTATGTACAGAATAGTTTGACAGCAGATATTTGTAAATATTGTACCCAAGTTTTCTCTTTCACTAAAAGCTTTGGCATGTTGAGATTTTCTGTTTAATTACTCTTGTTCTTAATTCAAACAGGAAAAAATGACCCTTCAGCCCATCATTTTTTTTTCAATCTCATGAGTACTATGGCACTTTCATTAACTTGTGCGGAAGTTATCTCCATCAAAACAGAGAAGAACATTTCTTGATAAAGACAAGAATCCATATAATCATAACAATGATATAACTATTTTTGTTAATAAAGCATATTTTAAGGTTTCCAAAGTGGACATATAAGGAATCTAACATCATTAGGGAAGCTTCAAATTGATGGTTGCAGATTCAGAATAGAACAGCAAGTCTCACTTCATAATTACAGAGACTAATTGAACTCTTCTAAGATTGCTCTAAATTGGCATTTTTTTCATAATCTATGAACAGTGTCACATCATTATTAAAGAAGCTTAAACTGATAAAGTGCTCTGCTTTGGCATCACTTCTAGATTCTATCAGAAATCTCACATCATTGCAGACACTACATTTCTTCAACTGCTTTTCTTTGACATCACTTCCAAAGTCCATTAAATGTCTTACTTCATTGGAAACACTATATTTTGTTGACTGCTCTGCTTTGGCATCGCTTCTGGAGTTTATTAGTCTCACATCATTACAAGAGCTAAGTCTCTACA